TTATAAATTAAATTTTTTAAAAATTGAATTAAATTATAATAATTATTATGTTTGCATTAATTGATTACTAATTGGATGTTTGTTTGGATTATTTTCGGTATTAATTTTCTGGCAAACATTTTTTATTTTTCAATTAATTTAACCAAATGTTTTCATTTACTTTATTATTTATATAATAGATTTATATATGTTTATTAAACAATTTACAACTTTATACTGTAATTTAAACAATAGAAAAATAGTTTGCAATAACAACTATTGAATTAACTGTATTTTTATAACATTATTTACTCAGATCTAAGCTTTATCTCTGTTACTAAATTTTTTTGGTAACCAAAATATGTGAGTGGTTTCACATTTTTATTACAACTTTTTTAAAAAGTTAGATATCTAATTGCATAAATAAACACATATACTCTCTCTCTCTCTCTCTCTCTCTCTCTCTCTCTCTCTCTCTCTCTCTCTCTCTCTCTCTCTCTCTTTCACACACACTAAAACTCTCTCAAAAATAGCTCATTTAGTATTACATATGCGACTACATGTCTCAATAATAGGTATGTTAAGTGGTAAGTGTTGTCCATTTTACTAACCCTAACCGGCGGTAAATTTTGATAAGTCCTCCCGCATAACAATAGAGGACATTAAACAACAAACGTATAGATAAAATTTAAATAAACCATTAATTAGATAATCAATTATCAGAAAACATTGATAGAGTCGATAACTTTTTTGATTTATTAATATTGTTTATAATTGTTTTCTGAATTTATTTTTTTTGTGTATTAAATCATTAAATTATTGTAATTTATTTTCATTGATTTGATTATGATATTACTGGACAGTCAATCTATGGTTATGATTACAACATTATTATATAATTATTRTAGATTTTAAAAGCCCGACCCGTAATCAGCTAATTAAATCTAATAATCAATGTAATACTGTATATACATATAATAAAATAAAAATTAATATTTATCAATAAGTTTAATATATATATATATATAGTTCAAAACTTAAGATACATTTAAAATTATAGAATATAAGTTTACCTATTTATGTAAATATTTTTTTGCGGAAAAAAACAAAATTTGTTTCCGGTCTCTAATATAATTTATTGTTTTGATAGTAATGTAATGTACACTTTATACCAGGGTTGGAAAAATACAAGGTTTTCGATTTTGGCTTTGTAAAATACAATGTATTTTACATTTTAGAAAAATTACATAAACTATGATAAAATACTTATTTTTTTATTAAATTTATTATTATTACATAATTTCAATATCGTTAGTATATAGAATCGTTGTTTTCTAAAACTATTAAAAATTAATATTAATTATTTTATTAATATATTTGAATAATTTCAATACCAGAATTAACTTCAATAGATAATTTCAAATTTTTTCAAAATAAAAAAAAATAATTATTACAAAACATGTGTTTGTTTGTGAATCTTAGTATTTTTGTTACTAAGTGGCGCTAATTTTTTTTGTAAGCCAAAATTGTCATGTAATTTACATTGTATTATACTGTATAATACGTTTTGTATTATGCATACACTTTGTCTCTGCCAACACCAAAATTGTTCCCAAATAAAATCCCTCCAATTTTCGGAAAATATGGAAAATATATTATATTCCTTCCCTTGATCGTTGTATTATACTAAAAAGTACATAATAATATGTGTTTCAATTGGGACCATTATGTTGTATTCAATCAAAATATACAAATATTATTAAACATTTAGTAAAAACATTAAATACATTTTGTAGACATTTACTATACAAACGTGTTTTTAATTAAACATTATGTAATGTGAGTTAGGGTACGATAGGTGGTACCACAAGGAAATGTCTTCCCAGGGAATTCCCAGGGAACAGGGAATATAAGGAACTTATGGAAAATAAGACGAGGGAGGGAATCAGATCTAACCCTAAGTGTATATAAACTTTATAGGGTTCAACTTACACTTGTTAGACATACCGTATATATTACGTTAGTATACTGTACAATATATTATTTGATGATGGAGACTAGAAAATTAGAGTGACCAACTTATTTTATGATTTTAGAGTAGACCACCAAAAAAAAACATAATTAGACAAATTTTAATAATTTATTTTAACAATTAAAAATTATAATATGATAATTATTAAATATATAAATTCATATATTGAATCAATAAATTAAATTATAAAACAATTAACATACAAAAAAAAACAACACAAAAATCTTTGAAAACAATTTTTATTATTATTGTTGTTGGCAACTATAAAAAATATCTATTGCACTGTTATTATGCAATTATTTTAATAGCATTATGTGTTCCCTCTTTTAACTATTTCCCATTTCTATTGGTTCAAACTATATATAATATAATATATATATATATATTTAAGACTATATACTTTAAGACTATATATTGTAAAACTATATATATATATATATTAACTAAATCTAAGATCTATAGTAATGTTCAGTATTTTTAGCACATTTTGTTCATAATAGCTATAAAGCATTTATTAAATCTTTTATTTAATATAGAATTCAATGTATTTTTTTCTAATTACAAAAAAAAAACAATTAATTAGATAATCAGTTATCAGAAAAAAACATTTGACAGATTGAATAAATTTTGGATAAATTTATTGAATATATTTTTTTAATTGTTTGTATTTATAATTATTTAATATTAGATAACTGTTTAAATAAGATTGATATCAATTGGTCAGATATCATGTCAACCGATTGTCACCGATATTTGTCTCAGTTTGTCGACATCACTGCCGACACGATAGACATCTTAGTTGAAAATGGTTTCACTTCATTAAATACATTGTTGGCCATCGATTTGGACAAACACTGGCAGTATTTACCGCCGCAGATATCTATGGCACAGAAACTACTGTTGGGACAGGCATTGGGAAAACTTGAGGCAGAAATAACCGATGATAACGACAACAACGTTAATATTGAAAAGTCGGATAATAATAATATTGATGTAAAGGACAGTATTACTGGTAATTATTTTTTACATTAATTTCACATAATATTTCACTAAAATTATTATTATAAATATATTATATATATTTTATTTATTTAGTTAATGTTTATATTAGTTTTAGATTTAATTGTTTAAAAATTCGTTGAATATTATTTTCATATTATATATATAATATATATAATATATATAATATATATAATATATATAATATATATAATATATATAATATATATAATATATATAATATATATAATATATATAATATATATAATATATATAATATATATAATATATATAATATATATAATATATATATTTGTTTAATTCAGTTAATTGCAAGATTAACTGAATTGTATTGTTTTAGTGATACAGTGTTTAAATTAATTAGTATATGTTTACTGATTATAATGACATTAAGATTTTTTAACAGGTCTTTTTATAGGTAATTATAGGAGAAATTGCAATTTAAAATATACATGTATAATATTATACATGTTTTAGTTGTGCATTTGTATATAATATATATATATATATATATATAGCATAATAAAATTCAAAAAATAATAAGATTAATCTAAGGATAAAACCTAAGTTTAGGTTCCTATTAACCTAATGTTAACATAACTAAAAATCATATTAATGCAACTAAAAATTATGTTAATTAAGTTGATTATATAGTATATTTAAATCACATTATATAGTAAATTGTATCAGTCGACCATTTATATGCAATTACGACAATTGCAACAAAACTTATAAAAGAAAAAAACATTTGCGTCAACATATGAATTGTGTTCACACGACTGGCCAACGATTTGATTGCAAATACAATGAGTGCAACAAATCGTTTGCTAACAAACACTCTAAACGTATGCATGAGAGACGGTTTCACGAGAATCGCCGACAAAATCATTCAATGGTTTGTACAGAATCTCATTAAATTTGTCTTTAAATTTGATTATATTTTTATTTTATTTTTTAAAAAATTTATTTGTAGACAACAATGCCATTAATTAATATATCATTTGCAGCCACAACAGCAACAACACAACGTACCTAAAGTGGAAACCAAACCGGATATTAAACCGGTATTTCTGTTATCGTGGACTCCGAAGTCGTCTCAATAATCAATTGGTTAATTGATAGTCACATTCATTATACTTATCAATATTTGGACTTAAATGACGATTTTTTTAATAACGGTTTTATCACTTTTGCTATACTTATGAATTGTTTAGTAAATTATATTTAAAAATATCATAACATTTAATTATATAATAATGTTTCAAATTGTTATTTGACTTAATTATGATTATTATAAATTTTTGTGTATGTAATTAATGATTTTTTTTATCAATAATTGTTTTTATTTTCGGTTTGACAATAATTTTGATTTAAAATAATTAAATAAATATATGAAAAAATAAAAACAATCATTTTTCTTTAATACATTCATCAAGAATGTACGTAACTTATGGTAATCAGTGTCATTAATTTCACAGTGATTTTACATAATTATGATTTTAAGAATCAAAATGATTTGCTTTACTTCAGTCATTATGAACTATTCATAATGATTTCATTTGTTGTTTTTTGATTCAATATAAATTATCACACCTTCGTATTCAATGAATTGATTTCACATTGAGTTGACTTATCGTGAAGCAAATCATTGTAATTTTGACATTTACTTTAAATCAAACCTCTTTTCGTATGAATCATTAGACTTCACTGTGCGATTGTCCTGATTGTCATTTCACACCATAATTAACAATTTAATTACAGGATTTTTTTAGTTTTACAAATAGTAATCTTTTTGATTTATAGGTTCTTTTCTCTTATTATTTTAACTATTAATTTTGCATGTTTTAAAATTTCATATTCATAAGTGATTATATCAGATTGAGTTTATACTAATTATTTATACTCAGTTCTACTCATATTCACTATGATTTGTATTGGTTACTATGGTTTGTTCATTTCTATTCTAATATTTAAATTTTTGATTATTCATTTTGATTCAAACAACAACTCTAGAATCATCTTTATTACTGATTATTTTAAAATACTTATAAATATATATTATTATTTATATTGATGCAATTATTATTATGGGAATTTGAAGTCACGGTGACGCCTATATTCACAGTGACGCTGGGACTCACAGTGATGTTGGGAATTACGGTGCCGGTATGAGTTATAGCGATAGGGAAGTCAGAGTGATTCCAGGAATCACGATGACGTTTGCTTTGTGGTAAATATCAATATGACTTATCGTTACCGATATCGTTAAATGAATCACAAAGAGTTAATACACAATAATAACTAACTTTATTAATAAAACATAAAATAGTAAAACACGTGTAAATCGTAACAATAGGTAATGGTATCTCAGGTTTACTGAGAAAAAGGTAAAAGAGTTGGAGAGCGATGCGGATGTAGTGTATGTTCTTATATATCGTAAGGTATGGAAGGGGTTAGTATTGGAAATGGTAAGGATAACATCAATTAGAATCAATATTGATGCAATTATTATTATGGGAATTTGAAGTCACAGTGACGCCGATATTCACAGTGACGCCGGGATTCACAGTTACGCTGGGATTCACAGTGACGCTGGGATTCACAGTGACGCTAGGATTCACAGTGACGYTGGGATTCACAGTGACGCTGGGATTCACAGTGACGCTGGGATTCACAGTGACGCTGGAATTCACAGTGACGCTGGGATTCACAGTTACGCTGGGATTCACAGTTACGCTGGGATTCACAGTTACGCTGGGATTCACAGTTACGCTGGGATTCACAGTGACGCTGGGATTCACAGTTACGCTAGGATTCACAGTGACGCTGGGATTCACAGTGACGCTGGGATTCAGTGACGCTAGGATTCACAGTGACGTTGGGATTCACAGTTACGCTGGGATTCACAGTGAAGTTGGTATTCACAGTGACGCTAGGAATTACGGTACCGGTATGGATTATAGCGATAGGGAAGTCACAGTGATTCCAGGAATCGCTAGTTTTGTTAAATTTGGTTCTATATATTTTTACATTTAGTTAGACTATTAGGTTAGTTTAAATTTTAAACAAAAATAATATTGGTATATATTATTGCTATATTATTTTATAAATTTAAAATATTTTTATCTATTTAACATAAAGTTTAGTAAAGTGCAGACCATTTGTTTGTTTGTTTGTTGTTGTTGTTGTAAACAAATATTATTTTTCGTTTTGATTTTCTGTTTCTTGAAAATTATTTATCATTCAATTTAACCGATTGTTCTGTATTTCAAACAATAATAATAATAATAATTAATATCCAATTTTATACTGTTTACATTTAAATATTTTATATATTCATCTATTGAAACTAATAATTTTTAGCATATTTTTTAAATAAAATATTTTTATCTTAAAATTTTTTAATTAATTGTTTTTATTTTCAATTTTGCTTCTCCTGACAAACACTTTTATTAGATGAAATTTTAAATAATTATAATAAATAATAATTAATATGTTTACTTTACTAAAATTTTATAAAATACCCGAAAATAATCGACAATTTGTTTGCAATTATGATAACTGCAATAAATCTTTTAAATACAAACTTGAGACTGAAAACTGACCTGATTTTTCAGGTCAGGTCAGGTAAAAGTTAGGGCTCAGGTCAGGTCAGGTACGGGTCCGAACACCAAAATTTTTTGGTCTGGTCAGGTCAGGTCAGGTCCGAAAATTTTTTATTCATTATTTAAACAACAATTATTACAAAATATCACAATCAAACACAAAATTTATTAAATTATTATTTATAAAATATTTGTATAAATTAAACATAAAATATTACAAAAGATGATGGTTTTGATCTAATAAATAATAACATATTAACTTTATTAGAATCTAAGTTAGATCTACTATCAGTTATCGTTAATCCCGAGTAATTAAAGTTAATTTAGAGAAATTTGTTGTGTGTATAGTATGAATAAAATTATTTTTAGGTAAAATTATTTTCGGACCTACATAGTCAGGTCAGGTCAGGTAAATTTGTACCCTATGTTAGGTCAGGTCCGAGATTTTAGGTATCAGATCAGGTACGGGTCCGAAACTTTTCGCTAATTAATACAAACTAATGATTTTTTAGATTACAATGTTATTTAAAATGAATCAGTCTTTATAAACACCAAAAAAAATTCACAGAAAAAATTCCGTTCCGATAGTTCCGGCCATCCAAATGAAACACAATTTTATTAAATATAATATTAATTAATTTTCAAAAGTTTTTTTTGGTAATAATTAAATTCGCATTTTTCATAAGTGTTGCCAGTTTTTGTTTGTTTGGTTAGTTTTTATATATTTGGAAAACTAATTTATTAATTAATTTTTTTTTGTGGATCTATTAATTGATTTTTTGTATACAATATTTTTTTCGGTTCGGTTCTCTGTCTAACCATATTATATCTATCGTTATATATTACAATTTTATACATTAAAATTATTTAATATTTGACAACAATTAGATTCATCTAAGTTATCATATTTTGTACAAGACTTTTTAAAATAAAATATGATAACTTAGTTAATGAAGACTTATATTACATTGTTGTCAATAAATGAAAAATTTTAATAATAAATAGAATCGTTATTATAATAAAATAAAATGAAACCGAAGCCAATAAATGAAATTTAATAATAAATATAATCTATAATAAAATAATTATATGATAAATATTAATAAGTAAGACTTAATTTTATATATACAGTATAGTATAAATTGAATAAATAATTAAATATATTTTATTATAATTTTAAAAAAAAATTAAATTTATTTTTTTTTGCATAACCAAACAATATTGGTTTCGGTCTCTAATATATTTGTAGTTTTTTCAAAAAAGTTTTTTTTTTGAATGTATTGAAAGCATTTGTTTGTTTTATATTTAATTTAATATAAAATTAATTGTTTTTTTTAATTAACAAAAATAATAGATAATCAGTTATCAGAAAACTATAGTTATAGACTAAATAATTTTATTATCACAATATTGTAATCACAATATTACTGCAGTCAAGAGATATGACAACCTTTTGTCACCGATATTTGTCTGGTTTTGTCGGTATCACTGCCGACACGATTGACATAATGGTTAGCAATGGCTTTGATTCGTCCCATACATTGCTGGCCATCRATATGGACAAACATTGGTATTATTTACCGCCGCAGATATCTATTGCACAGAAAATACTATTGCAACAGGCATTGGCAAAACTGGATGATGTTATCAATGATGATAACAATGGCAATGATAAACAAATGATGGCTAAAAGATCAGCCGATGTAGAGGTATGTCATATCAATTTAGATGATCAGATGGACAGCGTTTACGTTAAAGGTTTGGATAATAAAGAAAAGTCGGACAACGATATYGATGTGGAGGATAGCAATGGTAATCAATTTTTGTTACATTTTTATAATGACTTACTAATTGATATATATATATATATTTATATATAATATCTAACAGTGAAATCAATTGATAATGAATTTAAGATAAAAAGTCAATCGCAAACACAACCGATTGTARTCATAAGTCCGTTAAAAATGTCGATCAATGAATCAAAGATTGTCTAATCAGCCTAGTCATGTATTTTGGTCGAATTTTTTAAAAATAAATGATATTTGGACACCTGATGTTAGGTTACTTGTTGAAACTGCGTTATCAATATCATTTTCAAGTTTTTTTAATGATCTATCGACAATAGTAGTCAAATAAATTTGTCTGAAAAAGTTCAAACCAAAGACAACAATCGACTGATATGTGGTCATTGCGACCGGTTTTTCAAATCTGAGACGAGACTTGAGACACATATAAACAGATATCATAGCAATCAATGCATCACAACATTCAAGTGTCACAAATGCGATGAAGTATTTGTCGCCAATAAGTCACTACTTAATCATTTGGGACGAATTCATGGCATCCCATCGTTTTCATGCAATAAATGCCATTACAGGGCGCGGACTAAACATAATCTTAATCGCCATAAAGTCATTCACTCGATTGATCGGCCATTTGTCTGCAACTATGAGAACTGCGACAAAGCATTCAAATGGAGTTACGATATGGCTATACATCAGAAACGGATCCATTCAGCTGAGCCACCATTTATATGCAATTACGATGACTGCAACAAATCGTTTAAACTAAAAAAGAAATGAATTATCACCAAAAACGGATTCACAAAGCATCCAAATGTATGAAAACTTATATATCTAATGATCTTATAATTTGTTTAAATAAATTAGTTTTATTTTTTCATCGCAACAGTGCCATCGATTACTGATAAAGAAATTGTATCCAAACAAACAAAACCAGCTATTGTTTTAAATACACTGAAAAAGCCGATCAAAAGACATACGATAACATCTGCAGCAGCAATGAAGAAGACAAAGATTATGAAAAATAAGATAATCAACGACAAGACAACTGCCCCCGAAGTGTCCACCAAATCGGTTTCAACGCCAACCAAACTGATCACTACTCACAATAAGCCGGTTATTATAGCTATTGGCGAATAAGTTGTGGACACCAAACCGTTATATTGATTATTATCAATACCTCAAGTGAACTCTCAAATGATAAACTGATTAATTGAGGCTTACATTCATTAGTTATACCATTATATCAATTATTATCTAATAATTAAAGGTTTTATGAATTGATTTTTTATATAAAAAAATTGCTTATCATTTTACAATAATAATAATAAAATTGAATTGAATTGAATTGAATTATAATAATTATTATTATTTGCATTAATTGGTATCAGTTTTTATCAACAAAAAAATCAGTTTGATTTTCTGTTTAAAACTATTTCTCATTCAATTTAACCGATTATTTTCATTCACTGTATTTCATACATAATAATCATTAATATACAACACTATACTCTAAATAATTTTTTAAACAATTTTATTTTATGTATTGAATGAACTTTATTTTTAGCACATTTTTTTTGAATAAAATATTATTTTTTTAGTACCAAATAAACAGATTATGCATTTGTGTGGCTTTTTTATATAAAATTTTAATCACACAATAAAATAATAAATTAGATAATCAGTTATCAAACAAATAACTAAAACATAACAAATTATTTTTTGGAAACTTTTGAATTAATTACTATAATTAATAATTGTTTTGTAAGTTTTGAGATTTATTTGTTTTGTTAATTATATAATGTATTCTCACATATCATTACTTTTGTACCCGATATCACCCGATCAGGTCATGTCAACCAATTGTCGCCGATATTTGTCATGTTTTGTTGGTATGAGTGCCGACACAATCGATATTCTGGTCCAAAATGGTATCGATTCGGTGCACACATTGCGGGCCATAAATATGGACAAAGATTGGCATCATTTGCCGACACAGATATCCATTGGTCAGAAATTACTGTTACGACAGGCATTGGCCAAACTCGAAGATATTACCGACGATGACAATAACGGTGACAAACAAGAGATTACTGCCAGACAATCGATATCTAACAGTCAGTCAATAGAGATCATCACTTTAGACGACGAAGAGTTGGTTTTGGATAACAATGTTGAGGTCAACAATAACAGTGGTAATCGGCGTAAATGTCATCAGCGGATTGTTTCGACTGATCGGCCATTTCTATGCAATTACGACAACTGTAACAAAATGTTCAAAACTAAAGCACTTTTGCGTCAACACCTGAATTGCGTTCACACGACTGGCCGACGAATTGTTTGCAATTACAATAACTGCAACAAAACATTTAAAAACAAACACTATATGCGTTTACATGAAAAACGGATGCACGAGAATCAACATTCAAATGTTTGCTTACAATCTTACTGATGGTCTTATTATTTGATTATATCTTATCTTTTTTTTAGACAACTGTGCCCTTAATTACTGTATCGTCTGCAGCAGCAACAGCACCACAACAACACCAACCTATTGTCGTACCTAAAGTGGAAACCAAACCGGATATTAAACCAATATATTTGCTATCGTGGACACCGAAAAAGTCGACTCAATGATCAATTGGATTTTCAGTAACAATTTGTTTCAGTTTTTTTTTGTTTCTCAATAATTGTTTTTACATTGAATTTTGATTGTCTAATACTTTTATCTGTCAATTAATACTGTATAACAAATTGTTTTTATTTACTATTAATAAATACTACGGTACTATATTTTTTATATAACAGTAAAATAATTTACAAATTTATACTATACTGTAGTTATTATTAGCTATTAAACAATATATTAATAATTTAAATAATGTATTGAATGAAAATTTTATTCAATAATATATGATTTTTAACTCCAAATAAAACCGATTAAACATTTTTGTTTTAATTAATACAATAGTATATGATTGATATTATAGATAAATATCTAATCTTAATAAACAATTAATTTCATAATCATTTATTGGTAAAAATTTATAGATTGGATAACTTTTGGATTAGCTTTTTTGATTTATTAATATTGTTTATAATTTTTTTTTGAACTTAAAATTTTTTAATTTAATTTTAATTAAATAAATTTATTGTCAAATAATTTTCATTGATTTTATTACAATATTAATGGGTAGTTCAAAGTTTACCTATTAAGCGATATTTTTTATATACAGTTGTGACGGGTGTGGGGTTGATTTTCCCGTCATTGAAGCAAAGCTGTGATGAAAAGCCAATGTAGAGTGTAGTTGTTGATGAATGATGAAAATAATTAATAAATAATATTAATTAAGGCGAAAGTTCATTAGATGCCGTCACAAGTGTATATATTCACATTGAAATAAAACTTAATTTTATTTAAAGTTAAGTGCACATTAAAATATATAGTGAGTACATATTGTTTACATTATAATATAATATAGTGTATAGGAATATAATAAGTTGAAAAACAAGAGATGCGTGCTCTTTGATAGCAAGCGAGTAACTGATAAAATAATGGATGCTAAGCATTATTATATAGTGATTCTACTAATCAATAAATGTACTGTCAAGGCTATGCTTCTAGAATATTCTATAGTTACGCAACTGTAGATACAGTGACGCAACCAGAGCACAGGGATGCTGTGATTGACAGGTCTATGGGAATTACATGTATTTTTATACCGATCGATAAATATTTAAACTATAAATAATTATGTATTGTGTCTTACATGGTTGTGTTCAGTGTGATGTGTAGGTATCGGCACCAAAATAACATTTACAAAAATATTAATAATTAACAAATTATTGACTAAATTAGAATCACAAAAATCATAAATATTATTGATTAATATAGGATGTGCTGTATATAACACATAGAACACAGTGTTGACTCTCCGCTAGCATCATCAACTGGTAATGCATTGTAAAGCATACGGAGAGTCGAAGCACTATCGGTTAGGCTTCTCCGCGTAGCTCTATGTGTGAGAGTCACTGGATGTGAGACTGCGTGTATGTGTTTATGTGTGAGTATATGTATGTATGAGAGTATATGTGTGTATGTATGTGAATATAATAATGTTTTTAATAATAATATAGTTTATAATATATTAAATAGAATTAAATAAATGCTAGTTCTTCACACAGTAAAACTTACTTTACTATTATATAATTTAATTTTAAACTTTTTATAAAATAATTTACTGTAATAACTTTAACATAACTTTATACTGTAATTTAAACAAAAATAACAAATAAATCATTTTTTACTATTGAATTGAAGTTTTTAAAACTATTTATTGGGAATGCCTTAACTGCGGTCCGCTATGGGAAATGCTGCGGTCCGGATTTACACGAAAACGGGTGGTCAGATCTTGCGGTCCTTAATAGAAAAGTGGTAGATAATTAAAAGTTGGTCTAGGGTTCCGATAAGTAAAAAATTATCTGACCACCAGGGGGCGCACAAAAAAATAAAACATGTTTGATAAGTATAGAAAAAGCTGCGGTCCCGTATTACCCGAAAACGTGATCAGTTCTTGCGGTCCACAATAGCAAAGTTGTAGAAAAATTGGTATGAGATTATATTAAATAAAAAATTTTAAGACCACCAGGTGGCACACAAAAATTTTTTATAGCGATCCTAATTTATTAAAAAATGATTAGTCACATTTTAAAGATGATAATTTTTGATATTAAATAATTAAATTATTAAACCAGATAATTGTACAGTAATTAATCACAAATATAATTTTTTACATTCTTAATTGCTGTACATATTGTTTATAATGTTTTAAAATATTATATAAATTTAACCATATGTTAAACAAAATATTAATTTAATTACTTTTTACATAAACAAATATTATTACAATTTTACTTCCAACTTTACAATGCAAATAAATTGTACATAAAAATAAAATAAAATAGTTTTTTATAAATCATTTTTTAATAATCCTAAAATAAATCGTATATTGTATAAATTATCACAGCTAAATTAATTAATAAAAAATATTATACTATTTGTAAACACTATATTTGAATCTTGTTCAAATATAATTATGTTATTACTAACAATATCAAATGAATTAATACAAGTAAACAAAATAAATTAAAAAAATGATATAATATTCATTGTAAAATACTATTTATTTTTTAATTATTATTTTTTGCTACATATGGTTAAATTATAATATTTTATAAATAATATTATAATAACATAATATAACATTAAACAATATTATAAACAGACAATTTTCAATAAAAAAATAATTTAATTTTTTTGTGCGCCCCCTGGTGGTCGGATAATTTTTTACTTATCGGAACCCTAGACAAACTTTTAATTATCTACAACTTTTCTATTAAGGACCGCAAGATCTGACCACCCGTTTTCGTGTAAATCCGGACCGCAGCTTTTTCTATACAAAAAATACATGTTTTAATTTTTTTGTGCGCCCCCTGGTGGTCAGATAATTTTTTACTTATCGGAACCCTAGACCAACTTTTAATTATCTACAACAACTTTTGTATTGAGGACCGCATTTTCTATAAAAAAAATACACGTTTTAATTGGTCGGACCACCCTAGACCAACTTTTAATTATCTACAACTTTTGTATTGAGGACCGCAAGATTTGACCACCCGTTTTCGGGTAAAACGGGACCGCAGCATTTTCTATAAAAAAAATACACGTTTTAATTTTTTTGTGCGCCTCCTGGTGGTCGGATAATTTTTTACTTATCGGAACCCTAGACCAACTTTTAATTATCTACAACTTTTCTATTAAGGACCGCAAGATCTGACCACCAGCTTTCGTGTAAATCCGGACCGCAGCATTTCCCATAGCGGACCGCAGTTAAGGCATTCCCCTATTTATTATATAAAATTATTTATTGTAATAACTTTAACATAACATTATACTGTAATTTAAACAACAAAAAAATAATTTTATGTATTTCAGTCAACTGTAATTTTTATCACATTATTTAAAGTGTTATATAATTTTTAGCATCAAATAAACGAATTAAACATTTTTGTCTAAATTTATATGATATTAAATTATTTAATTTCATTAACAATTAATTAGATAATTAGTTAGTTATCGTTAAAACATTGACAGATTGAATAACTTTTGGATTTATTAATAGTATTTATAATTGTTTTGTAAGACAAATAATTTATATATAAAATTTAAATTTTTTGTTTCAATTACTAAAATTAAATTTAGTAATTAATTTTGCATTATATGTCTGCTTTGTAGCCGATATCACTGGTCAGATATCATGTCAACCGATTGTCACCGATATTTGTCTCGTTTTGTCGATATTACTGCCGAAACGATTGACATTTTGATTGAAAATGGTTTCAATTCGTTGAACTCATTGCTGGCCATCGATATGGATAAACACTGGTATTATTTTCCGCCGCAGATATCTATGGCACAGAAGATACTATTGCAACAGTCATTGGCAAAACTTGCAACAGATGTTACCGACGATGACAACGATGGCAATCATAAACTAAAATCAATGGCTAAAAGACCAGATGTTGAGATAATTAATGACGATTTAGACAATCAAATGGACAACGTTTTCGATAATAACGATTTGGATACTAAAGAGAAGTCGTCGTCGGATAACAATATTGATGTCCTGAGTAGTGGTAATAAATTTTTGTCCCATTTTTATGATGACTTAATAATAGTTATGACATATCATTATATTTATAAAAAAAATATTTAATATATCATAATTATTATTAAGTCATCATAACATTCAACAGTTCCTTCTAATTGTAATGAATTAAAGATGTTTTTTTTGAAAATTTAATTTAATTTTAACAATTTAATGAAAAAAAAACTAATATAATTTTGACCGAAACAGTGACATCAATTGATAGTCAACTTGAATTGAAAAGACTTGCATTGAAAACACAACCCGTTGTTGTCATAAGTCCGCTAAAAATGCCGATTAATTTATCGACAAAGACTGTCGACAATAGTTGTTTAATAAGGTCTGTGGTTAAAACCAAACGCAAAAATCGACTGAAATGTGGTCAATGCGACCGCTTTTTCAAATATAAAACATCATTAGAAAGTCATGTGAATAGAAAGCACAGGAAATGTCAACCATTCAAGTGTTATAAATGCAATAAACAGTTCTTCACTAACAGTGCACTAAACAGTCATTTGGGACTAAAACATGGCATCCGATTGTTTGGTTGCGACAAATGTCCGTTTAAAGGACTGACTAAATATAAACTTATTATACATCAAACTAGACATTCGACTGATCGGCCATTTGTCTGCAATTACAAAGACTGCCACAAATCGTTTAAATGCAAAGAAGGCATGATTTCACATCAGCTGAAAAGCTGTTGGATACTAATGATACTGATGTGGAGGACAGCAATGGTAAGCAGTTTTRTCACATTTATTATTAWAATTTTTAAAAATAATTATATCWTAACTTTAACAACAGTGTCAGTGAATAATAATAATCAGTTAGAGTTAAATAAATCTCTATCCGAAACACAACCCGTTATTAGAGTCAAATGTCCGCAAAAAAAGTCGACGAATAAACAAAATACTGATCAAATCAAATGTCTTGAATGCGATCTGATTTTTATGTCAAAAGCAAGACTTGAGACACACATAAACAGATATCACAAGAACTGGACGCCAAACAAATGCCAGGAATGCGGCAAAGAGTTTGTCGCTTATGAATCACTAATCAATCATTTGGTAGCAATTCATGGYATCGATACTCAGAAACTATTGTCAAAAAATCAATTGGTAAGAGTTGCAGAAATAGTCGATGATAAMGATGRCAGTGGTGGTGGTGACAAACAAGAGATGGCTAACAGTCCAGAAGGATGTGACAATTTGAACGATAAAACRGACAACATTTCGGATAACAATACTGATGTGGATGACAGCAATGGTAAGCAGTTTAGTCACTATTTTGATGAACTCATAATTGTTACAAAAAAACTAATAAATGTTGACTTCAAACAATCAGTTGATAATSAAATAGAGTTGAWAACACAACCCGTTGTAGTGATTAGTCCGCAAAAAATTCCGGTAATCAATGGATCTGCAAATACTGTCGACAATTGTCATCTAAATTKGTCAGAAATTGAAACCAATAATAACGATCGTTTCAAATGTGATGAATGCGACCGMTTTTTTCRGTCGAAGTTATGGCTGGAGAGACACAAAAACAGATAYCATAAGAATTGGACGCCAATCCAGTGCCACAAATGCCAGAAAAAATTTGCCGCTAATGAGTCACTACTTAATCATTTGGGACAAAAACATCGCATCCKATCGTTTTTGCGATAAATGCCAATACAAGACAAAGAATAAACATAATCTTATTYACCATAAAGYCAKTCACTCKACTGATCGGCCATTTGTCTGCAACTATAAGAACTGCGACAAATCATACAAATTAAAACATWMTTTGAYTAAMCACCAGAAATTGTCGCATTCATCTGAGTYTCTATTGAATTACGATAACTGCGACAACWMGTTCAAAGTCAAWGAGKCAATGWTTGGACACCAGAAACGGATGSACAAGAATTATCGTAAGTTTAAAATATCAAAATGTTTGTCAATACAACACAWCWGATCAGATTTGGTCTTATAATTTGTTTAATATATTGTCATTTCTTTGTTGTTGTTTTGTTGTTGTTGTTGTTATAACAGTGCCATCGATTGATAAAGAAATTGTATCCAAACAAACAAAACCYACTGTTGTTTTAAGTGCACAGAAAATACCGTTCAAAAGACATACGATGTCTTCGGYAGCGGCAATGAAGAAGAAGAAAAAGATGATAAATAAACAGTGGTTATTGTGGAGGAAAAAGTTAATGACGACTAAGATTTTGAAGAATACTATAAYCAAYGACAAGGTGTCCACCAAATCGATGAGTACGGCTTTGTTAGTGCCAATCAAACTGATTCYTACTCACAATAAGGCGGTTATTACTGATATTAGCGAATCGGTAAAATCTGCTRWTATARCCGATGATGACAACGATGGCAGTGACAATCAAGAGAYGGCTAACAGTCCAACTGAATGTAACAGAAGATCTTTTGTCAATTTTAACGATCAAATGGWCAGAATTTTTGATAACAATAAGATGGCATTGGATATCAATATTGATGTAGAGAACAGCAGTGGTAAGTAATTATTACATCACATCATAATTGACATAATTTTATATAAAAACTAATAAAATCTTCATTTTAAACAGTGATAWCAAGTTTTAATGAATCAGATTTGAAAAGACTTGCATTAAAAACACAACCCGTTGTAGTCATTAGTCCACTAAAAATGCCGATTAAAATATCAAARACTGTCGACAATAGACATCTGTTTGATGTCAAAAGTAAAAGAAAAAATCGTTTCAAATGTGGTCAATGCGACCGCTTTTTCTTATATAAGACATCATTTGAAAGTCATGTGAATAGACAGCACAGGAAATGTCAACCATTCAAGTGTTATAAATGCAATAAACAGTTCTTCACCAAMACATCACTAYTCTGTCATTTGGGACTAAAACATGGCATCCGATTGTTTGRTTGCGACAAATGCCCGTTTAAAGGACAGACTAAAMGGTATCTTATTATACATAAAACTAGACATTCAACTGATCGGCCATTTGTCTGCAATTACAATAACTGCTACAAGTCTTACAAATTAAAAAAACATTTGATTGCACACCAGAAATATGTTCACTCATCTGATCGGCCATTTTTGTGTAATTACAAAGACTGTGACAAATCTTTCAAACAAAAACCAGTTTTAATTGGACACCAGAAATATGTTCACTCGTCTGATCGGCCGTTTGTATGCAATTACGTTGACTGCAATAAATTGTTTAAACAGAAAGCAACTATGATTAGACACCAGAATTATTTTCATTCAACCAATCAGACATTTGTCTGTAATTACATTGATTGCAACAAATCGTTCAAATGGTCTCATAGTTTGTATAAACACCAGAAACAGTTTCACGGAAAAAAATTTTTCAACAAACAGTTCAATTCGATTGCATCCAAATGATTGGCGACAACAACTCATTGTCTTATATAAAAGTTTGGACACAAATCCTAAAAAAAATAAATATTCATTAATTTTAACCCGATTTTTGTTTTGGTTACGATATTTATGCTAATAATTTAATTTGTATTTTTTTCCTATAATTGATGATTTGTTTCTCAATTTGTAAATTGTAAAACTAATTAAATATCATTTTTTTTTTGTAAAACATTTATTAAATTTATTTTGGATGTACTAATTATTTTTAATGATTAGCTCTAATTATACGATATATATTTCTATGACTTTACTGTAATTTATTTTAATATAAGTTTATTGAAAAAATAATATTTTTCTCAGTTTTTTTATGTGTTCAACGAACTGTATTTTTATCCTAAATTTTTATTTTATTAAAAAAGTTATTTTTAAGGCATTAGTTAAAAGATTAAACATTTATTCGGTTTTAATTTGATATTAAATTTTTGTTTTGAAATATCACTGGTCAGGATATGTCAACCGAATTTTACCGATATTTGTCTCGTTTTGTCGATATCAGAGACGACACTATTCAGACACTCGTCCAAAATGACATCAATTCGATGAACGCATTGCGGGCCATAAATATGGACAAAGATTGGCATTTATTGCCGACACAGATATCCATTGGTCAGAAATTACTTATACGACAGGCGTTGGACAAACTCACAGATATCACTGATGATGACGTTGATGGCGGTAACGACAGACTGCAATTGATAAATGAAAGACGACTCGTATCTAACAGTAAGCCAATAGAGATAATCATTTTGAAGGATGAAATGATGGATATAGTTATGGATAACAATATTGAGGTCAACAACAACAACAACAACAATGGCAGTGATAAACAAACGATGACTACTATTACTTCAACAGAATGTGATAGAAGATCTTTTGTCAATTTAAGAGATCAAACGGACAGCGTTTTTGAAAATTTTTCCGAAAACAATGAGATGCCGTCGGATAACGATATTGATGTGGAGGACAGCAATGGTAATCAGTTTTATCATATTTTTCATTTAATTTTAATGTAAACTAATATAATTTTGACCGAAACAGTGACATCAATTGATAGTCAACTTGAATYGAAAAGACTTGCATTGAAAACACAACCCGTTGTTGTCATAAGTCCGCTAAAAATGCCGATTAATTTATCGACAAAGACTGTCGACAATAGTTGTTTAATTAGGTCTGAGGTTAAAACCAAACGCAAAAATCGTCTGAAATGTGGTCAATGCGACCGCTTTTTCTTATATAAGACATCACTTGAAAGTCATGTTAATAGATAGCACAGGAAATGTCAACCATTCAAGTGTTATAAATGCAATAAACAGTTCTTCACTAACAGTACACTAAACAAACATTTAGGACTAAAACATAGCATCCGATTGTTTGGATGCGACAAATGTCCGTTTAAAGGACTGAATAAACAGATTCTTATTAGACATCAAATCACTCATTCGACTGATCGGCCATTTGTCTGCAATTACAAAGACTGCAACAAATCGTTTAAACGCAAAAATGACATGATTCAACACAAGATTCGAATTCATTCGTCTGAGAGACTATTTCCGTGCAATTACGATAACTGCAACAAATCATACAAACTTAAAAATGATATGATTGTACACCAGAAACGGGTGCACAAGATTTATGAAAAAATTAAAACAATGCCATCGATTGATTCCAAAGAAATTGTATCCAAACAAACCACTTCGTCAGCGCCAACCAAACTGATCTCAACTCACGATGAGCCGATCACTACCGCTATTATGGCCAACTAATGGTGGACAATTTTCATTAGTATTTGGTATTTACTGGTTTTATAATAATTATTTATATTTTCGCTTTTGGTTATAAAACTTTTTTTCTGTCAATTAATATAAAAAATTTGTTTTCCTTTACTATATTTTTAAAAATAATTATATCAAATAATTTACGGTAATACATTATACTGTAATTTTAACAACAAAATTCATAAATAATTTGATAAATTTAGAATTAAATAACTTTTTTTCTTATAATTTTAATATTAAATATAAAAAATTGCATTATATTTAAGTTAATTACTTTTTTTATTTAAAAAAACGCATTATCTTAACTGTAATTATACGACATTTTTTTATATAAAGCTTATTTTACTTCAGGCCATTTGTGTGTAATTACAAAGACTGTGACAAGTCTTTCAAACAAAAACAAGTTTTAATTAATCACCAGAAATATGTTCACTCGTCTGATCGGCCGTTTGTATGCAATTACGTTGACTGCAATAAATTGTTTAAAAAGAAAGGAAATATGATTAGACACCAAAGTTGTTTTCATTCAACTAATCAGACATTTGTCTGTAATTACAGTGATTGCAACAAATCGTTCAGATAATTTGTATAAACACCAGAAACAAATTCACAGAAAGTTTTTAAACAAACAGTTTAATTTGATTGCATCCAAATGATTGACGACAACAATTCATTGTCTTATCTAAAAGTTTGAATACAATTATCCCAAAGAAAATAAATATTAATTAATTTTAACCCGATTTTTGTTTTTATTTACGGTTTTTATGCTTTAAATTTAATTTTTTATTTTTTCTTATAATTGATGATTTGGTACTCTATTTGTAAATTGTAAAACTAATTAAATATCGTTTTTTTTTTAAAAAACATTTATTAAACTTATTTTGGACCTAATAATTATTTTTTATGATTAGCTGTAATTATACGATATATTTAATGATATATAATTCTATGACTTTACTGTAATTTATTTTACTATAGGTTTAATAAATAATATTTTTCTCAGTATTTTTTAGGCTCTATCTTAAAATCAGACCAGCATCAGACTCCCGACTCATAATGTTTTGTGAATATCTATTAAACTATATTTTTAATATAAAAATGACCAATGGTAAAGTTATAGATAATTTTAGACTGGATATATTTATAATTAATTATTTTTTATTTACTCTTATGATTGGCCAGATAATTGCATCAGACCTCTTTTAACAGGTCAACTGAATTTTACCGATATTTGTCTCGTTTTGTCGATATCAGAGACGACACGATTCAGACACTCGTCGAAAATGACATCAATTCGATGAACGCATTGCGGACCATAAATATGGACAAAGATTGGCATCTATTGCCGACACAGATATCCATTGGTCAGAAATTACTTATACGACAGGCGTTGGACAAACTCGCAGATATCACCGATGATGACGTTGATGGCGGTGACAACAGACMGCAAGTGATAAATGCAAGACGACTGGTATCTAACAGTCAGCCAATAGAGATCATCACTTTGAAGGATGAAATGATGGATATAGTTATGGATAACAATATTGAGGTCAACAATAACAACAACAATTGCAGTGATAAACAAACGATGACTACAAGTACTTCAACAGAATGTGATAGAAAATCTTTTGTCAATTTGAGGGATCAAACGGACAGCGTTTTTGATAGTGTTTCGGAAAACAATGAGATGCCGTCGGATAACGATATTGATGTGGAGGACAGTAGTGGTAATCAGTTTTATCATATTTTTCATTTAATTGTAATGTAAACTAATATAATTTTGACCGAAACAGTGACATCAATTGATAGTCAACTTGAATTGAAAAAACAAGCATTTGTTGTCATAAGTCCGATAAAAATGCCGATTAATTTATCAAAGACTGTCGACAATAGTTGTTTAATTAGGTCTGAGGTTAAAATTAAACGCAAAAATCGCCTGAAATGTGGTCAATGCGACAGCTTTTTCTTATATAAGACATCACTTCAAAGTCATGTGAATAGAAAGCACAGGAAATGTCAACCATTCAAGTGTTATAAATGCAATAAACAGTTCTTCGCCAACACATCACWACTCCATCATTTGGGACTAAAACATGGCATCCGATTGTTTGATTGCGACAAATGCCTGTTTAAAGGACAGACWAAACATGATCTTATTAGACATCAAAATAGACATTCGACTGATCGGCCATTTKTCTGCAATTACAATAACTGCTACAAGTCTTACAAATTAAAAAAACATTTGATTGGACACCAGAAATATGTTCACTCGTCTGATCGGCCATTTGTRTGTAATTACAAAGACTGTGACAAGTCTTTCAAAGAAAAAAGAGTTTTAATTAATCACCAGAAATATGTTCACTCATCTGATCGATTGTTTGTATGCAATTACAATAACTGCTACAAGTCTTACAAACGTAAACAAGATTTGWTTGGACACCAGAAACTGATTCACCAAATAGTTTAGGCCATGGGYTCCAAGTGGTCGTCGATTTAAATGTTTGCACACAACTCACTGATTGTCTTATAATTTTTTTCTGTTGAAATTTTTTAAATTATAATATCTTATCTCTATTTTGTTGCTACAAAACAGTACAATAAGTTAACCATAAAAAAAAACTTTGAATACCACACCGTTATATCACCAAAAAAAATTTCACTAATGATTAAAACATTTGAATGAAACTAATCATTCATTCATTACACATATACTGTAAATCTCTATTAAAGTATTGATTTTTTTATTAAACATAATAATTATAGTATTTTAGATTAAATTATAGAAAATTTGAATTTTTTTTTGAGTACTTATTTGAATATATAACTTATATATTATTTAATCTATCGGTAATATATTTATATGTAAATTATTATGTATGAAAAAAATTTATCTAAAAACTATTAATTTTTTAAATTAATCTCTTATTCTATTTAATTGATTGTTTTCATTCAATGTATTTTAAATAATAATATTATTATAATATAAAAACTATAGTGTAATTGTAGCAAAAAATAATAATATTTATTAATATTTTTCTCATAATTTTTAAACTAAAAGTTAAATCAGATTTTTTGCGCAAAAATAAAATAATAAAACATTATTTAGTGATCTAAATATTAATTTAATTTTTAAAATCAATTGATTAAATAATCAGTTATATGAAAACAATTAAAAAGTAAATAACTTTTWGATTTAGTACTTTTTGTTTACTAATTATTTTGATATAAATTTTATTAGTTTTAGTTTAAATAATTTAATTACTGTATTGTAATTAATTTTTTACAATTACATCACTGTTTTGAACCAATTCAAACAAAGTAAACAACAAATTTTAATTATAAGATATCTTATATTAAATTYTGAGTATTATTAGTTGAGATAGTATCACTAAATTTATTTAAATCAATTTTTTTTAATAATTATTTCWATGAAATTTTATGCAAAAAAATTATTAATTTTGGTATTATTTATTGTAAAAATAAAAAAAAATACATTTTACTTTCTAACGGGAAAATATTTTATTTTATCTATTTTTCGGGAAAATTGGAGTAATTTTTATTAAGGAAGTTCCCTTCATTGGAAAGTTGTCCGAACTTTTCTGAAACATACTATTTATATATCATTTGTAAAATATCTTTTCAAAAGTTTTATTACAATAGCATAGTTTTATAGGACAATACATTTATATTAGTAATTAAATAAATATGAATTTTTGTGAAAATTATTTTCTAAAAATAAAAGTACTAAAATGCTTGTACAGTGTCTATAGTATAGACTCTATACTTTAGAAAGATTATACTCTAGAGTTAGGTTAGAGTTAAAACTTTTAGCTTCAAAAAGTGAATTAAAAGGCAATAAATATAACTAACAATATATTGTATGTGTAATAAATTTAGTGAATTTGTGCTAAAATAAGTCAATGTTTTTCATTGCAAGCATTTGTTAATTAAATTATTGATTATATTTTATGCTAAACTAGAAATAATATAAATCATATTATATTTATAGCCAAAACAAATATAACTTTATATATATATTTATATATATATTTCTAAACAGTGTATATGATGTTTGATATGATATACAGAAAACAGATTAAGTTTTTATTAAGTATTTTTAATATTATTAAAGTATTAATATTCAAAAGTATTTGATTATAAATGATTGATAAGATTTATTTAAAATGAGTATATTTTTGAAAACATTGTAAAAAGTTTTTAGCAAATTATTTTTATTAAATATTTTTAGTTTAACCGTTTTTTTTTAAATTTAATATTATTGTATTTTTTGTGCACATATTGACAATTGACAGCATCATCACCGGATAGATCAGCGATATCGCCGCAGTCGACAATGCAAACCGATTGTCACCGGTATTTGTCTCGTTTTGTCGATATCAGTGCCGAAACGATTGACATTCTGGTCCGAAATGGTATCGATTCGGTGCACACATTGCGGACCATTGATATGGACAAAGATTGGCATCTGTTGCCGACACAGATATCTATTGGTCAGAAATTACTGTTACGACAGGCGTTGGCCAAACTCGTAGATATTACTACCAATGATGACTATGACGGTGACAAACGGCAAGTAGTGATTACTGAAAGACAATCGGTATCTAATAGACAGCTTTCTATCATTTTGGATGACAATATGGACACAATTTCGGTGAGTAATGATAAGCAGTGACAGTGGTAATCAAAAATTTTTTTTAATCACATCTAATGGTTACCTAAAAAAAAGATATTATCAAATAATACTAATGGCTTTGAATTGGCTAAACTGGACAATGATGTCACCGATGATGACTATGACAGTGACAAACAAGAGATGCCCTCCAGACAAGACATATCTGTCAGAAAATCTTTTGTCAATTTAAACGATCAGATGGTCAGCAACTTCGACAACGTTTCGGACAGCAATAATGATGAGGTGGACGACAGCAGTGGTAAACAATTTTTGTCATATTTTTGTTATGAATTTGTATTATTGTTGTGAAAAGTAATAAAATCTTGTCCTAAACAGTGATATCAACTGATAGTGAACTAGAGTTGAAAAGACTTGCATTGCAAACACAATCCGTTGTACTCATAAGTCCGTTAAAAATAACGAATAATAATAAATCAAAGATTATCGGCAAAASAAGTTTAAAGTTGTCTGAATTTGAATCTATAGTCAATCAACAATTCAAATGTATTGAATGCGACCGCTATTTGTCGTCGGCGGCAAAGCTTGAAATTCATGTGAATAGTTGTCACTTGAAATGTCGTCCATTCAGATGTAATAAATGCGGTAAAAAGTTTTTCGCCAACTTATCACTACTCAATCATTTGGCAAAAAAACATACAATGAAACCGTTTGCTTGCGATAAATGTCACTTTAAGTTCAGTAGTAAATGGATACTCTTTAAACATAAACTGATTCACTCAACCAATCGGCCGTTTGTCTGCAATTACAAGAACTGCAATCAATCATTCAAACGAAAAGACACACTGAGTGGACATCAGTCAACTGTTCACTCGACTAATCGGCAAATTGTCTGCAACTATGATGACTGCAACAAATTGTTCAAAAATAAACTAACACTGAATAGACACCAGAAAGTGATTCACTCAAATAATCGGCTAATTGTCTGCAATTATGATGATTGCGACAAATTGTTCAAAAATAAACTAACATTGCAACAACACAAGAAATTTGTTCACTCGACTGATCGGCCATTTGTTTGCAATTATAATGACTGCGACATGTCTTTTAAACGCAAATCAAATATGATTGGACATCAGAAAGCAGTTCACACAACTGATCGGCCATTTGTTTGCAATTATAATGACTGCGACATGTCTTTTAAAAGCAAATCAAATATGATTGGACATCAGAAAGCAGTTCACACAAGTGATCGGCCATTTGTTTGCAATTACGATGATTGCAACAAATCGTTTAAACGTAGAAATAGATTGCGTTTACACCAGAGTTTGGTTCATAAAACTAATCGTCAAATTGTCTGCAACTACGATGACTGCAATATGCCGTTGAATAATACAAAAATACTGCATCGACTCCCGAAATTGATTCACTCGCCTAATCGGCCGTTTGTATGCAATTATAAGGACTGCAATGCATCGTTTAAATACAAGTTCACATTGTTTGGACACCAGAAACGGATTCACAAGAATTGCTTGAAATGTATGTAACATATCTTATAATATGTTTAATTTATTTACATTTTCTTGATTCTGTTGTTGTTGTTGTCTAAAACAGTGCCATCGATTGATAAAGAAATTGAATCCAAACAAACAAAATCTGCTTTTGTTTTAAGTCCACTGAATGAGCGGAACAAAAGACATACGATGTCATCGGCAGCGGCAATGAAGAAGAATACAACGATTATGAAAAATAGGATAATCAACGWCAAGACAACTGCCGAAGTGTCCACCAAATCGATGGATACGACTTTGTCAACGCCAACTAAACTGATCACTACTCACAATAAGCCGGTTATTATAGCTATTGGCGAATCGGTAGTCGACACCAAACCGTTATATTGATTATTATCAATACCTCAAGTGAACTCTCAAATGATAAACTGATTAATTGAGACTTACATTCATTAGTTATACCATTATATCAATTATTATCTAATAATTAAAGGTTTTATGAATTGATTTTTTTATATAAAAAAATTGCTTCACATTTACAATAATAATGATTGAATTGAATTATAATAATTATTATTATTTGCTTTAATTGGTATCAGTTTTTATCAACAACAAAAAAATTGTATTTTTTGGTTTGATTTTCTGTTTAAAACTATTTCTCATTCAATTTAACCGATTRTTTTCATTCACTGTATTTCATACATAATAATCATTTAATTGTTTCGAYRGCTCATAGAAATGGATCGAYTGKTCCGATAGTCACTACCAGATCCGCCAMTAAATCAAAGTGTGTGATGAAGTAAACTATCRCTTAATCACAGATGGCCTCAGAAACAACAAATTTTTGTGTAATTTTTTTTGTAGACATTTAGATGAATACCTTATCTATGATATACTGGTATTAATACTTTTATAATATATTAATCTTATCGGAAGATGTTTATACATATWGTATTATAAATTAATGTAAAACAGATTAAAAAAAWTTTTTGTATTCAATACTTTAGGCATATATTAAAAATTTTCAAAAACATTGATAACATATWAGTAAATTTTAATTTTAAAAACAACTTATAGTCAAAMCCTTTTAGCTTTAGTTTAATAATTAGTGCATTAAATAATATTTATTTAAAAATGAAAATATTCAATAAAATATTTKCTAAAAAATMCCAAAATATTTATTTAAATATTTATTTTTCAAAAAATACAATCATTTTATGAAAATATACACACACATACACACATACACACACATACACACACATACATACATATACACACACATACACACACATACATACAAATACACACAAATACACACACATACACACACACATACACACACATACACACACACACACATACATACAAATACACACAAATACACACACATACACACAAATACACACACATACACACAAATACACACAAATACACACACATACAGACAAATACACACAAATACACACACATACAGACAAATACACACAMATACACACACATACACACACATACACACACATACACACACATACACACACATACATAGACCATTATTGATTAAAAAATTACTCTTATAGTGTATWTATGTGTACTACTTTTAAAAATTAGTATAAACTTTATTTAATTAAAACATGTCTAATTTAGTTGACAATAATTATATTTAAACAATATATAATTAATATTATTTGTTTTTTAATTGAATAAAATTTGCTCAATTTTACTAACAGGCGCTTCAAACATAAYATACGCCACATAACTGACCAAAATTGACACAACTGACCATTGTATGAATGACATAATCTATAGTTTTAAAAAAAATAAATAATAAATAACTAAAATTAATTAATTAATTAATAACTACAAATTTATTACAAACCATTGCTGTTATATTTGAATAAACTGGTTGTTCAACTGTATAGACAAACATATAGATAATAACCAAATGATAGAGATATGTCTGATAGGATAGTTTGCTTAACGGCTTAAATACTGACAACGATAGTAACCGATTGACSAGACCTCCCTGGCCAGTAGCACACGAATACAGCATATAKGACCARCACAGRGCCAGTAGTGTACTTTGTAGTGTACCGTATATAATGCTTGCTGGGTTGTCAATACTGTAGCCAATGGGCCATAGATTGGGTATTAAATATATGGCAAGTGTTATACAAATAGATAGCGTCCATAGAATTTTATTTAATAACTATTTTGTTTTGTTTTTTTTTTTATTTAGTTRTTGAAWCCSCATTTATATAAAATTTTAAAAAATTAATTATATAAAATTAATTAATTTATAATTTATGATTAATAGATATTTAAGTATATAAACAGTATACAAACAAACCGATTTAATTATAATTTTATGTTTAATGTAAATATATGCCATTATAATACCCATATTGTATGCACCAAACCGACAATAGGCTTGTCTATAGATTTTCATAATAAATATATAGTCACTAAAAACAAAAATCATATATAATRATTATTATTATAAAAGTAAAAAACAAATAATAACAAACAAAAAAAATAAATATTATTATTATTATATATCATATAATTTATAAAAAAAACTTACTAATGACCATAAATATCAATGACTGTCGAGTGATATTTGATTAAATAATAAGCGATAACAATCCAACTAATAATTATTGCCAACACATTGATTGCTAGACCTATATATTGTTTTCTGAATAATAAATTATTTAAAAATCTTTATATAATTTATTATAACATTAAGAATATATGTATGTTTATGTRTATATATATATATATATATATATATATGTATATATATATGTGTATATGTATGTATGTGTGTGTGTATATATGTATGACAATTAAAACAMAATTTAAATKAKTTTACCTAATTTGTTTGCAAGCTAATAAAATTGTAAAAATTGGAGAAACTAAAAATAATTGCATATCAACCGCCAAATACCAGGTATGAGAAACACACTAATATTTATTTAAAAAAAAATATATTGTAGAATATAAGTTATCTAATATCTATATAAGTTTATATATATATATAWATTAATTTTAATTTAATTATTTCATACACCATTCATATAGAAATTATTAATATACAATAGATTTCTCCAAAAATTTCGACGACAATTGAGCACTTCATTAGTAACATATCGGTGCCATAGAGGAGCACCGGTAGTCATTAGTTCAGAAATAATTGAAAAACCAATCAATGCCAACAACGATGGCGTTAATCTTAAATAGCGATGAAATAGTTTTTTGAAAATATTATACTTTCTAATCGATTGACAYTTTTGGATATCATTGACAGTACTATAGGCGCACAAAAATCCCGATAACAGTAGAAACCCGTCCACACTATTCGATGCGTGTTTTATTAGTTGCATAAAAAATTTACGATTCAATAAATCGACATCAAACTTATTTACTAAAAAAAAATTTAAAAAATCAATAAATAAATWAWTTTTTTTTTATTAATTAGGGGTGGTTCACATATTACGTTCGCACTTGAGGGGAGGGGATGGGTTGGCCAAAACAAAGGAGGGGAAGGAGAGGTGTAGAGACTTTAAGAACGTTCTCATTTAAATAATATTTAATTTCGTGTGGTGATTATGGGGGGGGGGGAGTTAGCGACATGTGAACGTATTTTTTTWAAAAATAACTACATGCAAACAATTGCGAATATAKAGGAGARAGGTCAGGGGGGGTCTAGATTTTWAAAAAAGTGCTAACGTAATATGTCAATTGCTCTTTGAAAWTATTTTATCTTATTTTTGTTTGTCATGTTTGTTGTGTTACCTATTGGTAGAGTATTAGTAAAATTATYATAAGTRTGATTCATTATAATCWTACAAAGAGATATAAAGCGAAAACCGTGAAAACAGTTTATACTGTTTTGTTGTTGACTACCAGTGCTAAATAATTGCCGGGTGTTTCTATAAGCTGAACAGGCTAACAAACATTTAAACCATTTTGAATTAGTAGCTAGATAGAAAAATAAAATAAACAATGTAAAAAAAATTTCATAAAATTTATTTATACTGTATGTACAGTATATATATATATATATATATATACATATATCAGTGATTAACTTTATAAATAGGAATTTTTTTAGCTATTATTATAATTTATGAAAARTATCATGATAAAAGTAATCACACATATAGACTAGTACAAATTAAATAAATATTTTATCTAAGTCATAGTTTAGTTATTATTTATTGTAATGTATTTTTAAAAACTTTTAAAATAAATAAAAACTATTGTTATCTATGAATAATTATTTTATTTATTATAATTTTGAACATYARWAATGTTATAACATTTATCAAAAAAAAAGTTATCATGATACCACTTAAAGTTAATCACTGATATATATATTATAAATTGTAGTATCAAACTAAAAGTTTTTTTAAATTAAAAAAAAATAATATTAAAATCATTTAGTAGATTTAGAAAAATTATTAGTCGGTATTTATTATTAAATAAAAAATGTTTTTTTTTAAATGTTTTTTTTAAAAAAAAATTAAATATTAAATACTTACTTGTTAAACGTTTTTTGAAAACATCAACAATAGTTGCTATTAGTATTATCAAAGCAATTGTTGAAAATATACATCTTTAAATTATTTTTTWAAAAATAAATAAAAAGTCAATTAATTAAAATTAAAAAAAAATTAGCATAAAAATATTTCTAACATAATAAATATGTGAAACCATTGAAATGTATAATTATCATCATTACTACAATATTCAATTGATAAATGGATACCAAATGATCTTGAAACTTAAAAATTAATTTTAAAAAAAATTTGTTARATAAATAAATTATAATATTAATTGTAAAWRAGTATTTAAAAAACAAAAAATGAATAAATATAATTAAAATAATTTAATTATTATTATCGTTTTTTTACTAATTACATGATTTTAATATGTTTTCTAAATCTTGTTGATTGCAAACATTAGGTATACAAATACCAAGTGATGGTATAATTGATTCATTTAAAAACCAGTTGAGAATGCTAGAAAGCATTGCCAGAAACAAACTTTAAAAACTCATATATTAGGGTTTGCATTTTAATAAGATTTTTTAATTAAAAATAAATAACTCAATATTATATAAAATTTTTATTTTATTTTAAACATATAAATTATTAAATACAAGATTTAAATAAAATTAATTGATAAAGTAATTAAGAAATTTTTTTTTAATTATTTTTAAAGTTAATCATTAATAATAAACAAATCCAAATAGTATTAAAAATGAGAATATTGTTTTTTATATAAAATTATATAGATTAATAACAATGGATGTAATAACAATGCTTTAAATATCATTGTTAGTATTAATATTGTTTAATATATCTTCAATATCGTCATCCATTTCATCATCTGATTCA